TTTATTGAGCTGTTTTTATGATGCATGTTTAAGTGAATTGCCATTTGAAATACAATAATTTATACTGAGTATTTTTTACTTACAGGTCTGCCACTTGGTTGATGGCTGTAGCTTGACATGGTGTTATAGTGAGACTAACATCTCACATCAATGGTATCATGATTGCTGTCAAGCTGTAGAAGAAATGATGAAATCATGGTTAAAATACTGGAATAAATAAACATTTCATTTCATACAAAGTTTGACCCAGTGTATTATTTTAAATAGAGAATATAGTTCCATCTGGGATACAAATCAAAAAATTCCATTCCATACCCCTTTCTCCCTACCAGAGGCTTTGGAATACCCTGTGATTTCAGGCTATACGRTTGGCCAATTCAAATCGAAAATGTAACGAAACTTTAAAACAATGACAAATGGAAATCAAGTTGTTCAAAGCTTGATTAGTGCTAATCCTTGGTTACCTCTCAAAAACCTATGGAGTTAACCCTGGATTAATGCTAATCCAGCTTTGAACCCCTCCCTGGATGTCCCCTGAGGTTGTGCAAGGGGATCTGGGCATAAGAGTGAGCATGAATTCTAATAGACAACTTCCTGGATACATGAGTGCCTTTCAAAAATATTGCAGGTATGCACATGTAAATGAGGTTTGTAGGGGTAGAGATGCTGAGCTCACTTATATTTTTGCCCCAAAAATAACTTATTGTAAATACACCTGTCCAGTTGCACTTAGGCTTCGATAGCAAGTTAATTATTCTTTTGAATTTGACTAATGAGACTATTCATTCATATCAATGTTTGCATTGCTCACATTCCTACAAATTCAAAAGAATATTTAACACGCTGTTGAGGCCTAAGAGCAACTGAAAAGGTGTATTGTGCGCCTGCAATAATTTTGAAAACACCTGTGCAAACCTGTGTATCCTGGAAACCATCAAATAGAATTCCTGCCTCATGACACTTGATTTGTGTACCAGGTGATCTAATGCATACACTAATTCCAGATCAAATCACTTAGTTCTACATACCTAAATATCATTGTAATAATTCCCTTGGCTGACTGTAGTATTCACATCATACTGTGGTATGTCATGGTCAGCCATTATTAACATGGTTTTACTGTGCATATCAGTAGTGCATATGGAAGGTTGTGCTGTATTCTTTGTACAATTGCATGTCTAGCACACAATATTATGTACATGTATACTTCTTGCAAGCCTGTATTATAGAAATAAATGAAATATTACAATGATTGTTTCGTTTAAAACATAAGCTATCAGATAAATAAATAAAAACAGATTTRCTAAACGTTTGTGTAGTATGCCTGTTGTTCATTCTCGGTGAATGCTTGTTTACGAATCGTGAGGATTCCTATTTCTTTTTCACTAAAAACTACAGATGGAAAACTACTGATCGATCGATTTTATACACACTATATCTGATACTATTGAACAGAAACCTCTAAAAGCACGACCAAAAGGCAGCCATACACTAGCCTTTTCTGACATACTAGCAGCATAACAACAAGACATTCAAAACTCGCGCCATTACAATATTATATTAATTCAAAACATGCAACTCTAACGACTTTCTTACCTTTTTTATGGCTCAAAATGTTCATTCAACTTTTAAATACACTACATGAGTRTTTTTTAGCTTTCTTCTAGCTTTGAAGTGTGTAAAATAAAGCATTTTTTCAGCACTTTCCTCCATGTTTTGCTTTTAGCACATGTTGCACGAGACACCTGGTCACGTGATAAAAGACTGGGAGCTAGTGTCCCGAGGGTGTCCCGCGCTAAATCCCGCACAATCTCTGACATAGCCACTTATTGTAAAACCACGTAAAACATGAAGCAAGTTATATTAACCACATTATATAACACCTGTAAGTACGAATAATCTAACCCCAAACCCTAACACTAACCCTAATGCGGAATACACTAGAAAAAAACTTGTAACACTAACCCTAACCATAATGTTAACCCCAAATCCTAACACAAACCCTAATGCAAATTACTCTACACTAACCCTAATGTCTAACCCAAACCCTAACATTAACCCTAATGCAAATCACTCTAAGTTAACCCTAATGCTGACCCTAAAAGCTAGCACAAACCCTAATGCAAATTACTCTATCAGTAAACATTAAAATAGCCCTAACTAATGGTAACTCTAAGGCCTAAGCAATAACCGTAATGCAAATAGTCGGTCAGATAATGGTAGATTTAGGGTGCCGAACCCATTCTTCATCCCCTCCCCCACTAATTCCCTTTTTTACCTCCCTTATTAAGGTGCCAAATGTTCACTATAAACATTCTGATAAAAAATGGTAGGTTTTGGAATATGACGTAATCCCTTATTGCTCCCCCCTGATAAAAWTCCTGGATCCACCCCACCCTGGGTYGAGGGAGGTGTTCACTTACGGGATGTTAACGCCCCCCGTTAATAGGGGTGTTCGTTCAGGGGGTCGATGGATACCGGATTTTACATACCCAAAATATTTTCTGAGAATGATGCGTCATCTTCGAGGTAAGAAGAGAAAAAGAGAGTTTTAAGTAAGGTCGCTCGTTTATGAAAAAGTAGTAGTTGATGGTTATTCGTCAATTTATTTCCTTTGGGGTTATGACGTCATCATATGCACGTGTCGTACTGATATAGATCCAGGGGGATTCATGGGAGCTAATTCCGATCGGGAACACGGGAATACATAAGTGTTTCCTGGCCACTGCCAGTACTCAATAAACATAGTCTTCTCTATAGACTTCTGANCTAGTGTCCCGAGGGTGTCCCGCGCTAAATCCCGCACAATCTCTGACATAGCCACTAATTGTAAAACCACGTAAAACATGAAGCAAGTTATATTAACCACATTATAACACCTGTAAGTACGAATAATCTAACCCCAAACCCTAACACTAACCCTAATGCGGAATACACGTCTAGAAAAAAACTTGTAACACTAACCCTAACCCTAATGTTAACCCCAAATCCTAACACAAACCCTAATGCAAATTACTCTACACTAACCCTAATGTCTAACCCAAACCCTAACATTAACCCTAATGCAAATCACTCTAARTTAACYCTAATGCTRACMCYAAWASCTAGCACAAACCCTAATGCAAATTACTCTATCAGTAAACATTAAAATAGCCCTAACTAATGGTAACTCTAAGGCCTAAGCAATAACCGTAATGCAAATAGTCGGTCAGATAATGGTAGATTTAGGGTGCCGAACCCATTCTTCATCCCCTCCCCCACTAATTCCCTTTTTTACCTCCCTTATTAAGGTGCCAAATGTTCACTATAAACATTCTGATAAAAAATGGTAGGTTTTGGAATATGACGTAATCCCTTATTGCTCCCCCCTGATAAAAWTCCTGGATCCACCCCACCCTGGGTYGAGGGAGGTGTTCACTTACGGGATGTTAACGCCCCCCGTTAATAGGGGTGTTCGTTCAGGGGGTCGATGGATACCGGATTTTACATACCCAAAATATTTTCTGAGAATGATGCGTCATCTTCGAGGTAAGAAGAGAAAAAGAGAGTTTTAAGTAAGGTCGCTCGTTTATGAAAAAGTAGTAGTTGATGGTTATTCGTCAATTTATTTCCTTTGGGGTTATGACGTCATCATATGCACGTGTCGTACTGATATAGATCCAGGGGGATTCATGGGAGCTAATTCCGATCGGGAACACGGGAATACATAAGTGTTTCCTGGCCACTGCCAGTACTCAATAAACATAGTCTTCTCTATAGACTTCTGAAGCTTTTACGTCACCTACTTGATTTGCAATGCATTGTGGGATCAGTTTCTAGAGAGAACAAAATAAATTTGCCATGTTTTGTCTCAAACATATCCTACAATGTATTGCGTATATATACGGTGCATGACGTAAAAGCTTCAGAGGTATATTTCGATTTTAGCTTGCATGATTCGGCATGGTTTTTCAATTAGGTATTTTTCCATTGAGAAACTGAAAGTCCCTTGGGTGTAGCATCTCACCTTTTTCATTGTGAAAAAGAAACTAAAAGAAACTCACTTTTTTTGTCGTTATTTGGTATATAAATTTATTATAAAATTAAATCCCAACTGTCTAAATCAATACATAAGTGGATGATTGGATGAAAACCATTTTTTGTGATACTTTGAAAGCAGCAATACTTAAAGTAACATATTCCTTGGATAAACGCTCCAAGAGTCTCTAGATATAACTGTATTATTCAACACGCGTTAAACTGAGAACCTTTAATATCGTTTATTTTGCTATAAAAATATTTTCTTGTTGAAAGTTGCTTTCCGATCGATTCAAAATCAAAGATGGCGACATTTCGTATGCGTGCACGTGGTCCATTAATGCACAGCGGTCACAGCCCTTATATTACACCAAGTCGTAATAATATAATAATAATATAATGACTTGATAGAATCATTTCAAAAACGTTAATTTTGATTAGCATTTCTTGAAGGTCGTGAAGCATTCAACAGGACCAAACAGATGGAGCGAAGGGAGGGAGGACTGGCCACTTGTTGAGCGCGGTTTCCTTACTAATTCTGGAAAGTAAGCCTCAACGCTTTGCATCGCTCTTGCAGATCTGGAAAAAGATAAATATATTTTAGATCATGCTTTGTTTTGTTTTATATGCCATTATGGATTTGCAAGTGCTAAATGTAAATGTAAAATTTATAAAAAATAAATTTGGTTACAAAATACATTGGAAAAAGTTTGAAATGAATGAAAATGAATAAGGATGCCTTCCTCCTGAAATTCTGGGTACTGCTTTCCCTGTTGGTTGGGATCCCTGTGTTGTTTTGATTTAGCAGGAACGCCTGTTTGTATTTTCATGCACATCAGCGGCCATTTTGTGGTAACAAGATATGGTTGGATCGTTCATATTTATGCAGTCATGCGAAAGGGATTCTAAAGGTGTTATACTGTAATCTAAATGGATTTCAATAGGAACGTTGTACTACTTCAAGATCTGTGTCTTCTAACAGTCAATAGTTATCTCTCTCCC